CACAGAACTCAGGCTGTCATCATGATAATGCGCCACCCCTAGGCTTCGGCAGTTAAGTAGCTGTGCACCCCGGCCATGAGTGCTCGGGGCCAAGTTCACCTGCCCGTGAGTCAAGCCTGGCCCAGCGAAGCTCGTTATTCTTATCAACCACGGCCACGCTCTGTGTAGCCTCTCCTACGAGTGCAATTAACAAGAGAGTCATCTGGCAGTGAATGTTCCCGCAAATGCTGTTCCAAAATATGGCCTATTTCATGCGCTCTTTTAACAATCTGTGAGAGATCGGCAGTTGCTCCATATATTCTTTTGCCAATAGCTTGGTATTGTTCGTCTTTTTAGAATTAAATTTACCCACTTTAGGAAGAATGGTTGGTTTCCTTTTGCTCCTCCAGTTACTAACAGACCCAGTGTGGAGCGCCTTCTGCAGTGCTCGTTGACCAATTGGTGCGTGTTTTCTTTTTGCGAAGCCAGTCCGATTCATCTTCTGCACTTTAAAAAAAAACGGGTTTGTTTTATTATTGGTTGTTGTTTAAGTTGTAAGAGGTTCTTCATATATTCTGGATAGCAGGGCCCTTGTCAGATACAGTATTAGGAATACTTTCCTCCCAATTGGCCTATTTTTATAAATAGCATCTTCCCCAAGAGCGGTAGTTTTTCATTTTGATGAATTCCAAGTCAATAGTGCCTGTGGCGAATAGAAAGTTCGTAATAAATGTGGTCTATGCACCCAGTCCTTTCTTTAATGACATTGCTTTTTCCTCTCCTGCCGTTTAGGAATTTTGCTTGACCAAGTCGTAAGGATATTCCATATATATAATCTAGAAAAGATTTCTATTATTTTCTTTTACATTTCAATCTTCGGTCTGTCTGGAATTAAGTTTTGAATATGTCGTTGAGTAGTCTATGTTTATTTTTTCCATACATATACATTTGATCCAGGCATCCATTTATTGGAAAGGACAGTCCTTTGTCCGACTCTAATGGCATGGCCCATTTTGTTTATAACAAGTTGACCGTATTTGCTAAGTCTATTCCGAGACACATTTTCTTCTCTCGGCTGGCTTACGCTATCTTTGTAGCCAATATTACACTGGGGATCATCTGGTTTACAATCAATCCAATTTTGTTATTGTTCTTTCGACGACTCGTCCTGGTCTCTGGGTCATTCACCATTTCTGCATGCAGATTCTATAAATTGTGTAGGCCAGTTGTTGATTTCCACCAAAAAACGCGCTGCCTAAAACTTTGATTCAGCATCGAGAACTCATATAATACGAAATCTCGCAATCGCATGAGCCATGAATAGTCGGGCTCCCTTTATTAGCTCTTTACTTTCCTCAGCAGTGTTCTTTGTTTTACCGCATTATGGTTTTTGTGCCATCTTCAGTTTGAGTATTATTGGGTATTTGCATTTTTTTTTAATGCTATTGTTAACGCGTCATTTTCCAAATATTATTTTTCTAAGTTTTTGTTGCTAATATATAATATCCAACTGATATTTATTCAAATATATTGCTTATACCTCAGTAGTTTTGCTGAATTTCCTGTTTATTTCTAATATCATATAGCAAGTAATGATATTTTTAATTTTTCTTCCTCCTATTCTATACTTTATATTTCCCTTGCATACTGAAGTGGTTATACTGTCTAGTATCGAGATTAACCTATATCATACCGAGAACAGTCATACTACGAATGATCCATACTAGAGGTATGATCATACTAAAAGTATGATCATTCTAGATTTCATACTAGGAAGTAGTATAGTGCAAAGCATTGTATCTCACCATTCACATTCTAGGGGAAGCATTTTAGTCTTTCACTCCTCAACTATTATGTTTGCTGTAAGACTTTCCCATCCCCTCTTTTTTGTTCTCTTCTCTTTTCTCTGACCTGTTTTGTTTGTTGATGATCCTCTGTATCAGAGTAACTTTTCCTATGAACTGCAGGCTCACCAAGCTCCTTGCAGCTTTATAGAAAAGTTAGTTCTTGATATCTGAAATAGAATTCTCCCAGAAGGAATTTGTTCAGTGGGAGTCTTCCATATAACAGCCAAATTTTTATTGCTCCCCCTACCTTTGTCTTTTGTGTATTTCATCTCATTTGTAAACTTCAGCCCACAATTTTAGTTCTCCAGTTATTAGGTTCTAACACTTCTTTCAGATTAGACCCTTTCCTTTTTCTGTCATTTTAGAAAGATGCACATGAGTCTTTGGCCCTCTGTTGGGTTAAATGTTCGCAGGCATTTATGTCTTATTTCCACTCAGAGTTGCCAACTTTCTTTTGGTTATTTTTGTGTTCCAAGACTGCCATTGCCAGGCTCATAGGTCTTGCAGAAAGACTGGTATTTGAAAATTCATTAAAAAAAAAAATCTCATGTAGACAGAAACCATTGTCCATTCCATTTCATAAAGATGAAATAACGTCATATATATAATGATATATATGATCTTTTTGTTTAAGCCACAATTACATATTCTTTTAGACCTAACAGGGTATATAAAAGGAACACTGAATTTGGAATCAGAAAACTCTGGTTGAAACTCAATTCTTCTACTTATTATATATTGATCGTGGGTATCATTTGTATACATAATAATACCCACAAGCTAGACATTTGTATGTGTTTACTGCTGTACTTCTTGGTTAATTAGTTGATTCTGTCTGATTGAAGGATATTGTAGCTAATAAGTGATACATTTTCAAATGTGATATAAGGTCATTCTCCTTTTATAATGCCGTGTTGTTTTTTTTTCTTAGTTCATGTGTAGGAAACACTGCTTATAGGTTTTTTTCTTTGTGTTTTAACATAGTATTTAATACTTTTTTTTATTCTTCATTGTGATATCAGTTGAGAGTTTACTATTGAAACCTATTCATTATTTCATAATTTTTAAATGCTATCCTTTAAAGGCAGAAGTTGTTTTTCAATTTATCAGTTTATATGCAATTTTAAAACTAAATGGAAAGCAAATCTAAAAAGGATTTATATTTAGGATTAATGTTGAACCTATTTTTTAAAATCTGTCACACTGAGAAATTTTCTAGAGGGCAGAGAGACCTAGCGCCTTGTACCTTCCTGGAAACAAGTGGCTCCCTCCCACCCCAGTCTTTCTTCACGTAAGGTTAGTTTTCTTTATCCACAGAGGGCTTTTCTAGGTGCTCCAAAACGCACAGATTCCTGGAGCATCTTAAAAATGAAGAGTGTTGAGACTCTGGGAGACAGAGGGGCAGACTGAGCAGCCAGCAGCCAGAACTGAGAGGACAGCCCGATGTCCTGGGAGCATGCACCGTGCTGCGCATGGCCAGTGACACTGCAGAGCGCTGGCCTGTCCCCTGGCCTGCCAGGCCTGGGAACAAAGCGCGTGGCCTCAGCCTGCCGACTGCTCAGTGGCTTTCGCCTCTGCTCAAATGCTCTCGCCTTGGGTAGAATGCGGCAGGATGAACTAATGACTGCATTTTCAAATGGAGCATCTCGTCGCGACAACATTGTAAGTGGCTTAAAAGGCCGTGCAGAGAGACCCGTTTAATGCCAGCCTCCAGACACAAACCGTGGTGCGTGGTGATTGATACCTCTCGCCCCCCTGTTTTGCCTTCCCTTTTTTTGAAGAACTGTGTGAAGAAGAACGGAAGGAAATCGATTTTGAGGAAATTAAATTTCCTTCTGAAACAGAATGACAGTTTCTGAAACAAGGAGAAAGTGGGTTAACTGCGATGCTAATTATGAGCCGCACCTCGCTCTGCTTGCTGACTCTGGTCTGTGTCTTCCTCTTCCCTCTGCCTTTGCTGCCTGAGATTTTAAATATTTTTAAGAAGCAGATGTGCCCCGCGTATGAATGTGTGTGCGTGCTGGCACTGCCTGCCGACGGTGGCTGCACACGCGTCGCGCTGTTGACATTATCCTCTGTTGCTCAGCTTCAGACAGTCGAGTCCTGACATGTGCAGCCGTGGTGGAGGATGCCCGAAGGAATTGGAATCAGGCAGCCACGAGTCCCTGATGATTCATCAAGCACCGCACAGACCCTGGAGCTGCTCTGTCACCTTGACAACACAGCCCATGGCAACATGGCCTGGTAGGATTTTGCATATTTTATTGCCCAGAACAAGCTGAAGGTTGGACAGGTGCTGGAGCGTGTGCAGGTTCCTATTGCAGATGCTCGCACACGCTTTTAAAATAGCTCCTTTCTCTTAGATGCCTGCCTAGAACAGCTTGATGTTTCAGCCCAGTGTTTTCTCAGATCACACCCCATCTACAGAAGCCCACCCAACATGCGTAGCAGGAGAGCGTCCAGTTCTTCCTCCTCTTTGTCTAAAGACAAGGGTGCCCACAGCTCCCTCGGCGCAGTGACAAAGCCACCAGGCCCTGGCTAGCTAGCACTTGAGTGCTATGCGGCTTTTCAACTTCATAAACTGCACTTTTATTCAGCACTTGTGGGTAAATTATTTGTCACTTCAGGTTGAAGGCTCATGGTTTCTCCTCCTGCAGACTAAGCATGAGCACACCGTGTGCACGTCTGCCTGTGTCCCCAGGCCCTCCCCATTAGTCCATGCAGGGTGTCAAGAGACAGAGATATGTGACCACTGCTTAGGGGGCTCCGGGCCGCGGGTGGCTCAGTGTGCTGGAGGGTTTGCTGTGCCTGCCCACTGGCTGCTCCCAGGGGCCTCTGAGCAGCGGCGCGCTGGTGCATCTCTTGGAGTCCGGAATCCTGGGCATGGCGTTGTTTATGTGTGTTTACAATAACAGTGATTATTGTTCACTTAATAATAACCGGTCCATGCCTGTGTGTGCGCATGCACGCTCGTGAGTGTGTGCATGTGCGTGTGTGGGTGTTGCATTTGTGTGTATGTGCGTGTGTGCGCGTGCATTTGCATGTGTGTGTGCACGTGTGCATGTGCGTGTGTGTGCTTGCATTTGTGTGTGTATGTGCGTGTGTGCACGTGCATTTGCATGTGTGTGTGCACGTGTGCATGTGCTGTGTGCGCATGCGTGTGTCTGCAGGAAAGAGACTCATGTTCTCTGTCCAAGATCAGTTCTGTCTTAGTCAACTCTACACTTAATGAATTCTAATCCAACCGATACTGATTAAGCACCTGCTGCACTCACCTCCCAGGGGCTCACAGGTGACACATCAGGGACCTGTCCTCGAGGAGGCGTGATCTCCAGGGGAGCACAGAGTGTAATAACAGCTCTCCGTGGCGGCCGTGCCGTGCCTGCCGTGCACTGAGCCATGATGAACCGTGTGCTCTGCCCAGAGGGCGCAGCGTTAATTGCTAGAGGAGCTGGAGAGGGGTCACTGAGGTGCTATTTGGAACGGGGACTGAGCACACAGTCCAGGTTTCCGTCATCAGGTGTGGTCCTCGAGGCCAGCAAGAACCGTGCTACAGGCCGGGCATGGGTCTGTGGCTCTAGAAAGCCTTTTGCATGTCAGTGTGTGGTGGATTTATTTCTATAATTGTTGTGCCTCTACCAGGTCATGGGTATTTTCCCCTTACAGAGGTGCTCTGAGTATTAAAGTCACACGCAATCTTGCAGAGTGCGGGGAGGCAGTTGAGCATCCTGAAGTCCTCAGGGGTGATGGCCTCAATGCTGTCCCTCGGCCACTCCAGTACGGGATCTCTGTGCGGATCACGCCACACCATTCGGAGGGCCCACATTCAGACAACAGCCACGTTCCCCAGCAAACAAACCGTGTGCACCGGCTGAGCTGTGTGTGTTCGTATGTGTGGTGGGCGTGCATTTGTGCAAATGTGCATGTGTGTTTGTAGGGATGTGTGCATGCATGTGTAAGCACATTTGTGCATGTGTATTTTTCCTTGTTTGCATGTGTGTGCATGAGCATGTGTGCACACGTGCGTATAGCATGCGCCCGTGTTCTAGGAGGCACAGGGCACTGTGGAGCAGGTCAGGGGTCGCTTTCAGGGGCTGACACGTGCAGAAGCTGTCTGATCCACTGGCGAGCACGGAGAGAGGTGCGCTCAGAGCAGGGACCTCGGCCTGCCTGGCGTGGGGAGGCCAGGACCGCTCCCCGACCTCCCACCTGCGCAGATCCTCTGCCACATGCTCCACCCAGAAAGGCAGCCTCCTCGTGTGCGTGTTGTAGGGCACTGAACGGTAGACTGAAGGGTTGAATCACATCATGTGGACACAAACCTTTGAAAGTAGTTGCTGATATTAAGCACAGGAAAATTTAACTATCCTCTTCAAATTCACCTTGGAAGGCCATTTGTTCTGATTTTGCTGCCATTGTTCAAAGTATTTCTTGGATTCTGTTTTGTTATCCAATACATTATTGCAGATTCTTTCCTCCTCCCCTCCTTTTTTTCCTTGAGCTTTTTTTTAGTCTGAGTTTGCAGGGAGACCCGGGTGCCCTCCACCCGGTGACCCTGACAGCTTCGCTGTGTGACGACGGTGCAGCGTCACAGCCAGGGAGTTGTCGCGGACACAGCCCGCTCACCTTGTGCGCATTCTGCCAGTTGTGCACGCACTCGTGTGTGACACTCGGTTCTCTGCCAATTCGTCGCACGTGAGGGCTCACGTAGCCACCACTACGGTCAGGGTGCGAGCAGCTCCGTCCCCAGCGTCTGTCCTGCTGCCACCCCCTCCCCCACCTGTCCTTAACCCTGCAGCCACTAATCTGTGCTCTGTCTCTGTCACTGTGAAATTCGAGAATGCTATGTAGATGGAAGCGCACACCGGGTGACCCTTTCCACTCAGCTCAGTTTCCTGGAGGGCGCATCGTCGCTCGGTTTGCAAGCTGATCGCCCAGGTCGTTGCTCGCATCGTTTCTCTCTGTTGCCCAGTGGTATTCCGCGGTGTGGATGTCTCAGGGTGTGTTTACCTGTTCACCTGTCGAAGGACATCTGGGTTTTTTCCAGTTTTTGGCTTTTATGAATTAAGCGTCAGTGAATATTAGCGTACAGGTTTTTGCGTGAACATAAGGTCTTAGTGCCCCGGAGTGCGACTGCTGGGCCACCCTGTGACCCTGTGAGCACGTGTCAGCCGTGAGAGGCTGCCGCTCTTATACGGGGTGACCACACACTTGATCTCGTGCAGCAGGGTGAGGACCCAGCCTCTGTCCTCACCAGGGCTTGGCCTTGTCTTTTAGGCACCTTCAATGGTGTCAGACTTTTATTATTAGACAGGGAATTTGAGTTTTGGAAATTTGAGTCTGGAGAATACAGTATTGGTGAAGAATGCTGTTTGGGGTCGAACTCAAGGCCATCGTGGTGTTTTTAATTTGTTTGCTTCCCTTCCTGGCGTGTGAAATTGGAGCTGAGAGCAGCGCCAGGAGACGTTTCCTGAACAACCTGCCGCTGTCAGGTTGCACCCGACAGTGTCGCACGGCTCCCTGTGCTCAGGTCGGCCGCGGTGCACGTGCCTGTGGGCTGGCGAGTGTCCCCAGCCCCAGGGAGCGGTGGCGGGGCTCCGTTCTCAAGGCCTTTGCTTCTGCTTGTCTGGAGCCGTCTGAGCCCTGAGCCAAGGCCCGCGCCCCCACCCCAGTCTGCGTCAGCCCTGCAGCAAGCAGCTTGCACGGAGCTCACGGCGGCCCAGACCCTGCTGCTGTGGCCCTGTCGTGGGCCGCGTGAGAGGGCCGTACAGCCTCGTGACCCAGTGTGTCCCCGGAACACTCACTGGATGTGCTCCAGAGCCAGGCTGCCTGCAGAAGCCGATGCGGTCCGGCCTGGGGCGCACAGGGCCCAGTTTCTTGTCCTCCCCTGCAGACAGGGGGAGTAGGACCCCTGGAGAGCCACTCATTTCTCCAGATCAAGCGTACATCTCTGAAATGGAGATGATGTCGCACAGTTATCGCGATGGTCACGTAGCAGGATCTCCACGTGGAAATGCGGTACAGGGCCCTGAAGGGGTTGGTATGAGGTGCCCTCACACCTCTTCCAGCCTGGTCGTCCGCAGCTCCGCATCTCGGGGACGGAGTTCCCTGGCCGAGCGTAGAGCAGCCGCCGCACACCCGGCAGCTCAGGGGCTGTCTGATTAAAGAGCCGCGTGGCTTCGTGGCTCCGTGTCCCCACATCCCCATGTCCCCATATCAGAGAGGTCTTTCTTAACCAATCTCTCTAGAGTAATCATGTTCCCCCACCCTGAAACATTTTGCCATTTCACCCAGTTTCGTCTTTCTTCCAAACTGGAAGAAAGCTGTCACTGCCTGTCCCTCCCCTGTCCCTGGCCACGCTTACGTGTGATTTTCACCCGTGGACTCTGAGCCTCCTCAGAAGCTCCTGGCCCTGCTGGGTCCGAGGCCGTGTCCTCAGCACCCAGGACAGCGCCGGCACCTGGCGGGCAGGCAGGCAGGTGTTTGGGGGAGGAAGTGAATGGGGTGTAGCAACTTCTGAGTGCACTTGTTAGCTCATTTGTTGCCCATGGTGATCCTGTGCAGGAGGGACTGTCATTGTCCTGAGGTCCAGAGAGACGGAGCAGAGCGTGCGTGGGCTTGCTCACTCCTACGTGGGGTGTGTGGGACTCAGCCGGGCAGTGTGACCCCAGCACCCCAGAAACGCCAGAGTCACTTCCCTGCTGAGTGAGCATAAGGGCCACCTGTGGTCATCGCATCGTGGTGTGGAAATTGTTTCGGTTGCTGACAGCGTGAACCTATCTTCATCAGAATAAGTTTTGAGAATGTTGGAGCACTTTTAGCTGGTCCTTTTTGGATGGTAAATATGAATTATGCTGTATGGAGGAATACTCATTTTGAAGTTAGTAAAGCCACCTTCTTTTCTGACATACTTTCTGGTCTCAACTTGCTTCCTTGCTTAGCCTGTAAAATATATATATATATATATTTTTTTTTTTGAGACTGAGATCTCCGCTTTGTTGCCCAGGCTAGAGTGAGTGCCATGGCTCAGCTTAGCTCACAGCAACCTAATCCTGGGCCAAGCAATCTCCTGCCTCAGCCTCCCGAGTAGCTGGATGACAGCAGCGCCCACCATGCCCGCAGTTTTTTCTATATATATTCTTAGTTGGCCAGTTAATTCTTTCTATTTATGTGAGAGACGAGGTCTTGCTCTTGCTCAGGCTGGTTTCGAACTCCTGACCTCCGAGCCAATCCGCCCGGCCTCAGCCTCCCAGTAGTGCAGGATTACAGGCGGAGCCACCCGTGCC